TAACAACTGTCTCACATGTTCTGAAATCATACCATAAGAAATTATTGCTTCCTTAATATCCTTTATGTCTTTCATATATGTTGAAAGATTGGCAGTCCACATATCTTTTGGGATAATTGTTATTTGCTGATTTTTCACAAGTAGTAACATGATATGATCATAGTAGGTAACTCACAACTTTAGGCAAGTCATTTTTGACTCTGTAAGGTACTGGAGAGTTTAAGTCCCCTCTAATCTCTCATCGGTGCCTAAATATATTTTTTTATCAGTTTAAACAAGTTCTTTTAATGCTTGAAATCTATTCTTCACTTCTTTCTTTAGGGTTTGAGCCTCCTGAACAGTAAATGATTCCAGTGATTTCATTATATCAGTTACTTTCTTTTCTCATCATCCACACATGAGTCTAAGGATTTCATTTTATCCATCCATGACACCTTTTCATTCTTAGAGATTATGTGGATGGCATGTAGATTGCCTTACAAAAGCAATGTTATATCTGCCAATTTTTCATAAGCCTTTGACATGGAATGAATTTTTTCTGCTAATTTATTATTTCCATGTTCCATGGAGTGAGTTTTGCCTGTTAGTTTATCATTATCATTTCAATGGAATGAATCCTTTCATATAAACTCTCACTACTGTTTCTCATTCTTGGAAATGTTAACAAACCATCTTTTAAGGATATGATATGAATTGCCAATCTAATAGCAACTAAAGTTAAAAATGTATATGTCTCAAGTAGGTCATGTATCTCTTCTAAAATTCTATCCATAGCAGAAACAATGTTTTTAAATTCCTAAATGGTGACATTATGTTCTAGGCTTGTTTGTTCCTGGCTGTTCAGCCCCCAAATCATCACACAGAAACCATAGTATTTGCAATACCGTTTGGCCAATAGCTTAAGCGAATTTCTGGCTAACTCATATCTTAAATTAACCCATCTCCATTAATCTGTGTATTGCCATAAGGCTGTGGCTTACTGGATAAAGTTCTGGTATCTGTCTCTAGCGGGACAACATGACTTCTCTCTAAACCCTGCCTTCTTTCTCCCAGCATTCAGTTTATTTTTTCCTTCCTAGCTCTAATACTTTGCCCTATTATAGGTAAAGATAATTTCTTTATTAACCAATGGAATTCACAGCATACAGAGGGAAATCCCACATTACCTTCCCTTTCTGTTTATAAAAATGAAGGTTTTAACTTTAACATAGTAAAATCACATATAATAAAACAGTTATCAAGCAAAATTATAGGTACAATATTCATATCTCCTTTTTCTTTTATCATAACTAAGGAGAACTATAATTATAATTATCTATTCTTCAACTCCATGAAAGACTCCAGAAGGATATAATATTACTTAAGTAAAAAGGAAGTGCATTATAAGCAACTTCCAAAACTCTGGAAATGTCAGAGACATCTCACTGCCTGGACAGTCATTCAAAGTTCTTTTGTTTCATTGGAGCATCCATCTTCAGTCTACAGGCCCATAGGTCCCATAGTGTCTTGCAGACTTTTCCATAAAGCAGGAAATTTCGAAGACAGTTCCATCTATATTGGCAGTTTGTCAGTCACTTTTTTCTGTGTCCTGCAGAATGTCTTGCAGACTTTTTCATGAAGCAGGAACCCTGAAGGACTGTCTCACCTTCTTTAGGTAACTTTAGCAGTCATTTCTCTATGGGTCCAGCTCATCAAGCAGTCCAGGCAAGAGCAGTTTCTAGCCAGTGGTTAACCAACTCTATAAGGAGCCTCTTCAATGCCCATCATCCTCTTGAAGTTCATTGGTGTTGCCAGGAGCAGATGTGTCTCATTGTCATGAAAAGTCCTAAGTTCTTAAAACATTTTTAATGACATATTCTGAAGGCCTCTGAAATATTTGAAGAATATCTATTTAGCTGAAATATATCTCTACATACCTAGAAAACCTAACTAATATGACTACAAGCTTGACTATTATAGATGACTCTCTATTAATCTATGTTTCTTAATTATACATTACATTTTTAAGTGAGCTACACAAACGCAATACCTTAATCAAGAGCAGAAATATACATATATAACAAAACTTATCTTAAATTTGTATCAATAAATCAAGATCCACACCAATGCAAATCTCTATAGCGTATCTTCTTTAAATGTAAGCAAATATTTATAAACAATATTTGCAAATCTAGGTGTCATTCTCTCCAAACTGCTTTCTGATTTTTCTTGGGTGAAGTAATTTTTTGGGGGTGTTCATGGGGGCCTTTCAGGGGCTCTTGGTCCATCAAACCCCATTGGCCTGGAAGGATTCCACAGGTTCTTATCCTCTGTGGAAACAAAAGAAGATCCTCTTTTCCAAAGCAACATGTCCTTAGACCCAAATTCTGGAATTAAAATACCTTTATAATATACATGCTGATTTAGCTTAGCAGTCCATACAATGAAATGTCTCTCTGTACTTAGCTCCTTCACAGTCAAAAAATTCAAAGAAAATACAATAATATATAATCCAGGCTCTCTGTGTATATTCCATCTTTATGTGTTTAAGTGACTTCTTTTTCTTTATTCCTTTAAATATATGACTGTTTGTACTCTGTCTCTTTAAAGACTTTTTTTTAAAAAAAATTTACTTCTTTTAAACAATTCTCTATACTATTTTTCTTCTCTCTCCCAAGCCTATGTGCATTTATCTCACATTGAGACCCATTTAGAGGTCGTTTTCATCTGAATTTGTCTTTATTGTGCATCTGTAATCTTTTTATGACCAGAACTGCTTTTATGTCAAGACACACTAATCAGTTTGTAACACACTGCTTACAAATCCATTGAAATGTTTGGCTTCCTGATTAACCAGAGTTAGACCTGGCAGAATGGCCCAGAAAGCTGCTGTTTTAGGTAGTTTTTTTCTGTTATCACTAAATTAGGAAAATCTCTCTTAAAGGAGCCATGACGTTAAATTGTGCTCAACTCTTTTTTTTTTTTTTTAATTTTTGCCTGGAATTCCTTCCCATGCTCTCTCAGGTTTTAAGTGGATTTTAGTCAACCATGGTTGTGAACAAGTGGCCTTATACAACAATATTATTCACTAATGGTTTGGAAAATTTGTTTATTAATTCATTTATCAATCTATATTTAGTTGTCAAACAATTTGCCACAGAAATCCTCAGAAAATTGTTGTAGGTGTGATAATCTTTATTTGCCAGCAGGCAGAGTCACTCTCCTGGTGGCTGCTGAGATTTTATGGTGTAATAACAATGATTAGGAGGCAGGTATCACAGGTGAGGTATTAAAGCAGATTGCCCCAGGCTGACCCAGGTCTGAGTCATGATGCCAGAACTGACAAGTTACTTTCTTAATTAAAGCTCCATGTCTTCACAGCTTTCTGTAAACTGTCAGTGCCCTTGTAAGTGTTTCTCTTCTTGAAACTTCTGGGAACTCTTGGAATGTAAAGAACTCAATAAGGAAACCTGGTCCAACAGCCTTTGTGGCCTCCATGAGGCAGAGGTTGAGGACAAAAATAACGGATGTCTGCATGTTCTTGAAGGCAACAACCTTCAAGTGAGTTCAAAAGGCATCACCTGGGTCTCATTTGCTTCGGTAAAGAATTGGAAAGCTTTATTTTAATTACACTATCCTTAATTTAAGGTTGGAACCTAACAAGCTTTGAGACTATCTTTCATATCATCAAAGATTCAGTATAGTTATTTGCATTGGGTTTTTCAATAGAAATAAAACAAAGCAAATCTTTTCTTAAGGCCTTATATTCAAGATCTTTCAGAGTAAAATACTTCCTAGATAATTTTGTAATATTCATAGTACTGGTTAAATTATTCCTATTCAAGTACTTGTGTGTATGTGTGTATGCAGTGTATATATACATTTGTGTATATACAATGTTATGTGTGAAGGTACAGGTGCACAAATACAGGTGTGCATATTATGGAGTCCATAGTCAATACTGAATGTCTTCCTCTGGAATGCTCCACCTTAGGTTTTATAATGAATCCTCTTCAATGAACTTGTCAGTTGTTCATTTGGTTAGTGTACCAGGTTGGCACACTGTTTTCTGGGTCCTCCCAGTGTTGGGTTACAAGCAGGTGCAGAGAAGTTCACATTTTCACGTGGTTACTAAGCATCCAAACTGAATGCTACAAGCCTAGGAATCAAACATGTCCCCCACTGAACCACCTCCACAGCTGTGCTGAACAGTTTTGTATCAACTTGACACCAGGTTACAGTCATTTGGGGAGAGGGAACCTCAACTGAGAAAATGTCCCAAGGAGACTGACTGATGGTCTAGGCTGTGTTGCAGTTTCTTGATTGATGCCTGCTATTGGGGGGCCCAGCTCACTGTGGGTAGACCCTTCCTGGGTTGTTTAAGAAAGTAGGCAGTGCAAGCCATGTGGAGCAAAGCAGCAAGCAGATTCAAGACCTCCGCATCCGCTCCTGCATCCAGGTTGCTGCCATGGGTTTCTGCCCTGTCTTCCATCAGCAATGAACCATAACATATAAAGAACTGTGAGCGAAAATAAACTCTTTATCCTCTGAATTGCTTTCAGCCCTGGTATTTTATCACAGCAGTAGAAGCCCTGAGTAAGACACCCCAGTCCTAAGAGAGATTTTTCATAAGCATGCCTTGCTGCAGTTCAGTAAATAGTTAAAAAGCGGTCTGTTTCAATGTTTTAGTATTTAACAACCATCTACTACTAGGTTGCCTTGTAGAGCATATGCGGGTTTGTGTCTATTTTTTTGTGATTTATTATGCCACATTTAGTTTATATTCCTGGAATAGCAGCTCTTTTATTTTTTTTCTTAAAGGAAATGGAAAAGACATGGATCTGGGGGAAGGGAAGGTGGGCGGAGGGACTATTATGAGTGGAGGGAGGGGAAACTGCAGTCAGGTTATAATGTAAGAGAGAAAAAAGAAAGAAAAACAATTCAACCTCAGAAGTCTAAAAAAATGACTTATTATGATTCAGTAAATAATTTAATTAACAACTCTCTGTTACCTTGGAAAGACAGCAGTAAGATGCTCAATGCATAAGCATCTGGAAACCATCAGAAGAACAACATGGTCAAACCTGGGAATAGGATTGCAACTCATGGGGCAAGAAGCTTTTCCAAGATCAAGGTATGGAGTATTTGGATGCATGCATGTACGTATGCATGCAATCCTTGATAGTTCTTGTAACATTGCTACATTGCTCAGCTTACATGACATTTTCTAGCAGAAGAGCCATTTTACCCAATTTGTTGTTAATTTCTTGCTTTAAAGAAGTTGGATTTATAATTAGGGATGTCTGACCAGGATAATCCATCCAGGATGATTTAGAGGATCTCAAAGGAAGATGGTGTTTCAAATGTGTAGGTGTGTATTAAGTTGTGGATTTTAGTCTGAGTTCAGAGGTGAGAACCCCAGAGCCCAGTCCTCAGAGGTTCTTGATAGAAGGTCAGAGGTTACAAGTACTCTATTAATTGATATGCAAAGATGACTTCATGACCTAATCAGACAAATATTTTCTGCAAGTTTTGGCAATACTATAATCCTTGTTTTGTAATATAAAATAGTATAGCTTGTTAGCTGATGATTTTCAGTATTTCAGAGACAAATTGTCACACTCATAGCTCTAAAAGCATCTTTGCATCACCAAATGTGAATGTGCATTAATCCAGGGAATCTGAGCACTGCCCTAATCTCTGCAGAGCCCCTCCCAGGCTCCTTTCTAAACTTCTGCCTCCTAAATCATCCAATCACAAGCTCACTTACCGTATTCACCTGTAGTGGACTCCATACACTAATGTAAAAGAGAGGAGGACTCAGACTCAGCCCTGGGAAGTGTTTTTTACCTGCAGCGATGCATGAAATACTGACACCCAGCCCCTCAAGTTATCCTTCAGTTCTCACATTCTGAGGAGCCCAGGGCCCTTAGATGCTGGCCTTTTCCAGATGAGTACTTGATGTGTCACTTTGGACAACTTGTGCAGCATGTTTTTGATTCAGTATATTTTATCTGAAAAAGATAATGTTATCCTACGTTTTAAGATAAAACCTCCCTCCCTCCCTCCCTCCCTCCCTCTCTCTCTCTCTCTCTCTCTCTCTCTCTGTGTGTGTGTGTGTGTGTGTGTGTGTGTGCCCACCATTCAGTGCTATCCTATATAACTGGTCTGAGGGATTAGACCCAGATGCTCATATACACCAGGCAATTCCTCTATCCCTGTTCTATGCTTCCTGTTCTACTTTAAGATGTATTAATTTCTTTAAATTGCTGTTTTATTTATCTGTGGGTCTGCTGTCATTGGAGGCTAGAAGAAAGTGCTGGATTCCCTGGAACTGGAGTTACAGATTGTTTTGAACCACTGTGTGGGTGATAGGAATTGAATCCAGGTCCTCAGCAAGAGTAGAGAGTGATCTTAATTGCTCAGCCCCAACTACAACTTCAAAAAGCTAAGGCTAATGATAAACATTATGATTATTAATTGCTAGAATTAATAGTATTTATAGAGAAAAGTCACCACTTATCATTATAAATATTGGTTCTCAAATTTCACCTTGGTTACTTTCTTAGGGTTTCTATTGCTTTGAAGACACACCATGACCACTACAAGTCTTATAAAGGAAAACATTTAATTGGAGCTGGCTTACAGGGTCAGAGGTTTAGTCCATTATTGTCATGGCAGGAGGCAAGGCAGCCTGTAGGCAGATATAGCTCTGGAGAAGGAGCCAAGATTCTATATCCTTTTAAGAACTTTTCAGGAAGTAAGTGATATTAGGCCCGGCTTGATTGTCTGAAACCTGAAATCCCATGCCCAGTGACACTTTCTCCAACAATGCTAAACCTCTTGATAATGCCACTCCCTGGAGGTCAGGAAGTTATTGCTATTAAAAAAAACTACCACTGTTACTTTGGAGATTAACTATAGTAGGTATTGGTGTGAAGGTTATGAAAAAAAATTAAAATCATGACTTTACAGCACAAAATCTAGAGGTAATAGTTCAAAAATAGTTTTCTCTCTTTAGAACTATCTTAAATGCTAGGGTAGTCAAATATTCTATAGTGCCAAATTGGAAGCTCTGCTTCCTAAAGTTAGAAATAAAATCATTAACAAAGATGTTCCTAGCCAGGGTAAACCATGGCCCTCATAGACTTTGATCATGCACACACTGGCGACCTCATTAGATTCCAGTGGTTAGTTCTAACCCAGTGGCTCCACAGATGACCCTAGTTAATGTATATGGAACAACAACAACAAAAAAAAACAACCCTAACCTCATGAACCTTAGAAAAGGACTGCAAGTAATGAAGGTGTTGGTGGAGAGGGCGAAGAGAGTAGGAAAGTAATCATCAAAATGGACCATGTATATAGAAAATCACCAAGCAGTGACTTAGTCAATAAAATTTATTAATGAAAACAAAGGAAATTTTCTCAAGGGGGTGGGGAGATATCTCAATCAGTAAAGTGCTTGCCTAAGAAGCAGGAGGACCTGAGTTCATTCCCCAAGCCGACATATAACCTAGGCACGGTGACACTACCTGCAATTCCAATGTGGGGGAGATGGACTCAGCAGATACTTGGTGGTCCCTGATACCCAGCCTTGCCACCTGGCTGAATTCTAGGCAGGTGAGAGTCCCTGTTACTAAAAGTATTTACAAAGATTGAGGAATTGCACCTACACTTGTCTTCTGTCTCCTCATGTGCATATACATACATAAACTCATCCCTCACAAGCATACACACACTTACACAAAGAAATGAAAGAAAATACAAAAAAGAACTCCCTTCAGAGGAAGGAAAGGACTGCTCTAGGAGCATTTGCTTCAGACTCTAGCACGCTGAGGTGAACAGTCAGCAGGGTTGGCTTTATAAATGCAGACATTATGTAGCAGTAGACTAGAGCCACGTGGACACTGATTTCTTTTACTTTCTGTCCACAATCGAGTACTTTAGAGAAAGAGAAATTTGTTCATTACCTGCTTAGTTTTCTTCTTTAAATCTTAAATCAAATAAATGATCCCCCAAGCCTGATTATTTTCTTTTTAATTTTGTAGACCTTGCTTTAAAATATAGGACCTGAATTATGAAACTCATGAGAAAATAATCACGTATCAATTACATCCTCTCAAAGATTTGCAGTGGGAAGGGGAAACGTCTCTGCCAATGTCATTTAGAGTTAGAAGACAAGCTTCTAACTCAAGCTGAAACTGCATTATTTTAAAGTCATAGAGTACTTTTGAGCTATACTGAAGTTGGTGTTCATATTTCCTAGTTCTTCATTTTGCATATATTTTTTGCTTCAGTTTATCCAAATTAATTGGTAGTAGTGACAATTATTTTATAAACAGTATATCCTAACCTAACACAGGATGATCTGCCTATTAGTTTAGATGTGATTGTACAGAAGTTTCAGAAGCTGGGATGATGACATTTGTCATCAACCTACTGCAGGAAGATAAGTTAAGGGAAACAGTAATCTCATTCACTACATCATTCAATTTAAGGATATTAGTCACAGGCTGGTGATGAGGAGTCTTATTGGTATATAGCCACATTTTATCCTGCACAGGAGGGACCCCAAAATGTTCTGTCCTGGGTTTACATGCCACAAACTCCACTTGGACTACTGAGGTAAAGGGTTATAGGACCTATGGACTCAGAAAGAAAAACAAGACAGGTCACTTTACTGTAACTATTGATCCCAGTAGTGAGAACGTGGTTTATTTTTTCTCAGGAATGTAGACAAAGTGGACAAAGGCTTGAACTGGTCAAAGATACCCAGAGACCTGTCATTCCTTTGGAGAGAACATAAGAGGCTTGCTTCAGGAGCAATGCTGTGGTGCAGTTCTGTGTTCTATTTTGCATATCACCATAGAACCTTCATCTGGCGATGGTTGGAGATTGAGACAGAGACCCACATTGGAACACTGGACTTAACTCCCTAGGTCCAAACGAGAAGCAGAAGGAAAGAGAATGTGAGCAAAGAAGCAAAGACCAGAGGGAACCTTCACCCGTTGATGGATGGAGATTGAGACAGAGACACACATTGGAGCACTGGACTGAGCCCCCAAGGTCTAAATGAGGAGAAGAAGGAGGGAGAACATGAACAAGAAAGGCAGGACCGCGAGGAGTGCGTTCACCCACTGATACAAGGGGACTGATCTAATGAGAGTTCACCAAGGCCAGTTGGACTGGGACTGAACGAGCACGTGATACAACCAGATTCTCTGAATGTGGCCGGATTCTCTGAATGTGGCTGGCACGGGGTCTTTCTGAAATGCCATTGACAGTGACACTGGGACTTGTTTCCTCTGCATATACTGGATTTTTGGGATCCAGTCTGTTTGGACGCTCACCTTCCTGGACCTGGAGGGAGGGGGGAGGAACTTGAACTTCCCACAGGGCAGGAAACCCTGACTGCTCCTAAGGATGGAGAGGGAGGAGGAAAGGGAGTGGGGGGAGTGGGAGGGTGTTGGGAGAAGGGGCGGAAATGGAAATTTTTATGAATTAATAAACTTTTATAAAAAATTATATCACTTAATTTGATAAAAAAATGGGGTACTGAGCTGAACAGAGAATTCTCAACAGAAGTTCCAATGACCAAAAGACACTTTAGGTCATGCTCAACCTCCTTAGTGATCAGGGAAATGCATATCTAAACAACTTTGAGATACCATCTTACACCTGTCAGAATGGCTAAAATCCAAAACACCAATGATTCCTTATGCTGGAGAGGATGTGGAGTGAGGGGAACACACATCCATTGTTGGTGGGAATGCAAACTTGTGCAACCACTTTGCAAATCAGTGTGGTGGTTTCTCAGGAAACTGGGAGTCAACCTCCCTCAGGACCCAGCAATTCCACTCTTGGGAATATACCCAAGAGTTGCCCAATCATACTACAAAAACATTTGTTCAGATATGTTCATAGCAGCACTATTTGTAATATCTGGAACCTGGAAACCACCTAGGTGCCCCTCAATAGAAGAATGGATAAAGAAGGTGTGGCACATATAAAAGTTAAAATTCTACTCAGTGGTATAAAAACAATGACTTCTTAAATTTTGCATGCAAATGGATGGAAATAGAAAATACTTTACTGAGTAAGCTAACCCAGACCCCAAAAGATAAATATGGT